CCAGAAGTCCACTGAGCTGGTCATACGCAAGCTGCCCTTCCAGGGTCTGGTCAGAGAGATCGCTCAGGATTTCAAGACCGACCTGCGCTTCCAGAGCTCCGCCGTCATGGCTCTGCAGGAGGCCAGCGAGGCTTACCTGGTTGGTCTGTTCGAGGACACCAACCTGTGCGCCATCCACGCCAAGAGGGTCACCATCATGCCCAAAGACATCCAGCTGGCCCGCCGCATCCGTGGAGAGAGAGCATAAGTTAAGCTCATCCAAAACCCAACGGCTCTTTTAAGAGCCACTTAAATCTTTGCAGAGCTCTGATCCTGTATTAAATGGTGTACAGCATACATTAGAAATGGAATGAAAAGAAAACGCTCCTTCCAGATTAGGCTATAAGCGTTTGGCCAGAAGGCTCAAGTTGTCAAGAGGAGCTTCCATCAGCAGCAAACGTATTTAGAAACAACCAAGTATTCTTATAGTGTATAGTAATTCCAAAATGTACAGAATTTAATGTATAGAACATCTATAGATGTTATGGTCGTTTTAACAAATCCACTTCCTATAAATGTTGAATCGTCTACTAATTATTGCAGCAAAAACGCTACATAAATGTTGCTAAATTTAAACTTAAATTTCAGATAATTTATTTAGATATTTTACAAGCATCCACCGAAATCTTAAAAGTGGGTTGTCACTTTGTTTTACAGTATTTTCTAATTGTTTACTAAACTCTTTTACAGTGTTTACATTTGGGTACAGTTCTGAACAATTCTTGTGTGTAGCTCCTGAGATACAGAATTTCTCTGGTACAACCATATGTGTTTTCTATAAAGAGGTGTGTTATTGTGTCTGTTCTGGGAAAAGCAATAAAAACGTAATTTTAAATAGTTTTATTTATGTGCATGTATAGGTAGAATGGATAAAAGTATTGACAGTAAGAAAGGGAATGGATCTAATATATATTACATTTTTATCATATTTTATCGTCTATTAACTTCATATAATGGCAATTTTTTATATATAGAATCATCTACCGTATACAATCAGGACTCATTACTTTAGACAACTATGACCGTATTGCTATCTGTGAATGGGTTGAATAATTTCCACCAGCTGGTAGCCTGAAACCACAGGCTCAACCTTTAGCCACGCCCCGATCTGTCGGCTGCATTTAGTGGTAATTGGCAGAAGCAGCTGTCGGGGAAAGGAGGTCTGCTTTGATTGGACGATTGGATGTGTTCTTATATGTGACCAATCAGAGAGCATATGATCGACGACAGGCCTTATATATACACTCCCAATGCGCGTCCTGACAGTCACTTGTTAAAGTAAACCTTTACAGAAATCATGTCTGGACGTGGAAAGACCGGAGGCAAAGCCAGGGCTAAGGCCAAGACCCGCTCCTCTCGTGCTGGGCTGCAGTTCCCAGTCGGCCGTGTTCACAGGCTGTTGAGGAAGGGCAACTACGCTGAGCGCGTGGGCGCTGGAGCTCCCGTCTATCTGGCTGCAGTGCTGGAATACCTGACTGCTGAGATCCTGGAGTTGGCTGGAAACGCTGCTCGTGATAACAAGAAGACCAGGATCATCCCCCGCCATCTGCAGCTGGCTGTCCGCAACGACGAGG